ATATTTTTCTTTCTCTTTCATCATTTCACTTTCTTTCTTCCTTTTATTGTGTGTGTTGGAAACAAAACTTAAGTTATGTAACATAACATTAATAAAACCCTTTTATATATAGGTAATACATTCATAATGTTACTTAACAAAGCTTTGAAAATTGTGAAGGATATGCTTTTTATTTATCCTGCAGGATGTAGAACCGCCTTGAAAATAGAGATAGCCTATTTTAGATAGAAACTATAAATATATCGGTCCAACACTTTTAGTCTTCCAAAAAGTATTGAGATAGCCTATTTTGTATATATATATTACTTAACAGTAGTATAAAAAGTAATATTGATAAACCTATTATATATAGGAAAAAAATGTCTGTCCTTTTAAATAACATAATTTATATCATTTTACTCTAAGAAAGAGGTGGGATCTACCTCTTTATATTTTTTTTGTCAACTCTCTCTCCCTTTATCTATCTCTTTCTCTCACTTAAAATGAGAGAATTTTATATCTTTTAAAATGATACATACTTTTTCCTTATATATTTTAGGTTTACTATTGGGCAGCGCATCCCATAATAGGTTTACTTGTAAAACCAATATATATTACCTACAGTAGTGTAAAAAAAAGAAAGATTGATAAACCTAATATATGAGGGTACAGTGCGCGATGTTTGCAAAAATTACGCCATAGGACTAGAGACGTATAGGTAATGTTGTAAAAAAATCTAGTCTTTGTCCTAGCCACGACATACCATTAAAGGGCATTACATTGCGCAAGTGTGAAGCTATCCAACGTTAGAAGCTATCCAACGATAGTCTTTGTTTACATACTTTCATATATGATGCGCGATGCCCATAGGTTGAATTACAGTGCGCGATGCTCATCATAGCGCGATGAGCTGAAAATCAAAACTTCATTTTCCTACAACTTCTGCTTTGCTTTCAAAGTTTTCTTCATGTGCTTCGCACCTAACGGCTATCCTCTTGAAAAAATAAAGGAAGCACGTTAGAGACCATGCGAGCACTTAACCATCCATCATTTACTTAGGAAGAGAGTGCTCAAACTCCAAAAACAACGAAATTAACTAATCATTCCAAATCAAGCCTCTGTAACCGTCTCAGATCACTGGTGGCCGCACTATTCTTCCCCCAAAAAATCCAGGAACCGAAACGGAGTTCGGAGATGGAGAGATGTTCCTCGCTCTTAACCTACGCCTTGCGGTTTTCCGCGGGAACAGCAACATCAAGTCCTCGGTGGCTATTCTCCGGACTCAACTTCTTGCCTGCGTTGAGAATTTTAACTTGACCCATGACAATATTCGCGATGGCTGGAACTTTCGTCGGTGCTGTAAATCGATCTCCGGATCGTCTCCGACCACCGTATTGACAGTTGGTCTGAACGGCGGCCACCGAACTTCGCTTTCGCCGGCGGTTCTAGTAGGCATTGGAAGTGAGAATAGGGTTAATATTTGAATTTCCTCGCGATCTGGCATGTGACGTGGCGATCGCTAAGGCATCGTTGCTCTACACAAATGGGATACCGCGGTGCTACTTCATCCCAATGGAATCATCTGTAAGTTAAACCTCGCAGTGCTTCCACGCGGTGCTAAAGCCATTTTTAATCCATTTTTCAAAACAAGAAAATTATAATTTATATATAGTGCGCGGTGATATTATTCTCGTTCCAAAGATCGATAGACACATGGGATATTAAAAAGTACGTGGCTTATGAATCCAAGGTATCATGGCGCGTTGTTGGTACGTGGCTTATAAATCCAAGTATCATGGTGCGATGTTTATCCCATTATATGTTCATCCCATTATTTAAATAAGTTATTACATTTGGGTAGAAAGTATCTATATCCCAACGCACAAAGTTCAAGATTTAATCCATTGCGCGATGCAGAATTATAGTGCCAGTGTGATGATGATGCGTGTAAGTGGCAATATTTGATTATTGCGCGAATTGTGAATGCGCGATGCATTTTTTCTATCTTAGATTTGTAGTTCTCTAAGGCAACATGACCAACTACATAGCTTACTTAGAGAAGAATAAATTTGTTATCATTGATTGCTATGGTGACAATTATGTCAATTATTGCTAAAAGTACCCTAGAAGGAAGAACCGAAGTACATCACGGGGTGAAATTTGAAGTTAGATTGACAAGGAGAGTGATTATAAACTTCCCTAGACGAATTGTTAAGAGATTGACATTGATTTTAAAGTCTTTGTATGGTTGATTTTTAAAATATTGTAAACACAAGAATATCAGTGAATATCGCGAAAAAAAGAGGCTTACCATAAAAGCATTAGGCTGATGCATATGGATGTATACGATATTGACAAAGTCTAGTCCGAGCACATTCTAGGCTTACGAATCATTTTTATGAATCATCTTAGTCCTGTTACAAGGGGTGAATTATGACAAAGGCCTGGCATGCTATCATATATTGAATCTTTCTGATAGCATATGGACAAAAGGTATCATGAATGCTTAAATCACTATTGAGATCATACTTCTTGCGAGATTACATAACTTGCAGGATGCTCACGCGATAAAATTCGTGACATATATGACTTATTTTGACAATCTTATGTCTCTGTCGTGAAACTCATGAAAGTTGCAGGAATCCATGAATGATGAAAGGTGAAGACATAAATCTCGCCTGAAACGCAGATAAACTCAAAAAAATTTACAGTTGATATCTGCAAAATTATTATGAATTGTTTTGAACTTATTCAATTTCATTGAATTTATCATCTTAACGATATGACATTATTCTGTGAGATTTGTAAAGATTACAAGTTCCACCAAACAAGAGAGATATGAACATCATCTACAATCTGCTGAAAGCGCCTAAAGTTCTTAAGCTTAGGTTTAAAGAAGCTTGAGGATAAAGCCTAAGGGTTACACACTCAAGTAAGAAGAAGAGAAAGGGAGATAATGAAACTTCCTCCAATTATGAAAGGGAGCTAATGAAACTTCCTCCAATTATCAAAGGAAGCTAATGAAACTTCCTCCAATTATGAAAGGAAGATAATGAAACTTCCTCCAATGCGCAATGCGCGATGAATATGAAAGGAAGCTAATTAAACTTCCTCCAAATATTGAAAGAAAGATAATGAAACTTCCTCCAACAAATATGCGGCATGCGACATCAAAGTTCCATAACTGTCACCTAAAATCATAACATGCGACATCAAACCATAGAGCATGCAAAATAGAAAGGTACGCAAAATATATGAATTGTGAATCATGAACTGTATAAAACTGCAGGATACAACTATGAAGTTCTCAAGCACCCATACAAAGTACAGACCATAGTTCTAGATAAAGGAACAAGCACAATGAATTTTTCAGGTTGATAAACAGATGTCATCTCGCAAATTTATACATCTCACTACTCATGCTCTCAGCATAAGCAGCGAGCTGGGGGGCTTCTGATCTGGATATATATTGTATATTATTAAAATACAAGGCCCAAATCAAAAGTCTTCACAATGAAGCAAAGCAAAGCAAATCTGGGGGGCTTCTCACTAGTCAAAGAAGGTTGCAACCTCATCTCTATCACAAAGCTCATCTCATCAAGCTGCACAATAAAGACTACATGACAACAAGCTTCTCAACATTAAAAGCCTTATCCTTCTGAATACTTCATCTCCAAGTATGCCTCACCACTTGCAAAGCTGCTCATCTCTCCACTATAAATACATACCTATTAACACAAAGATACATATCTTTTTCTACATAATAAAACCTGCTTGAACCAAATTTGACTTGAGCGTCAGAGTGTCTTGCAGGTGCACCCCCCCATCTTATTCCATTGAAGACCCATGGGTTAAAGCTACTCAATTGCAAGATGCTCTGACCCAAGACGGTTCTAGACCATTTGTGATGCACTCACAGTTGGCTCATTGCACATGGCCCAACTATTGATTCAGGAAGCTCAGAGTCAACCAGAATTGTGGCCCAATAAATATGGCCCAATGGTTAAAAAAAGCAGTAATTTGAAATATAACAAATTACAATCAAACCCAGGTCTAAATGAAGCATCAGATATGATTGTGATTTGTTTGACAAGAAAAGAAAAGCAACACATTTGGCATGATTTGAGATATAAGATTTGGGAAGTATTTTGAATGATTTAATTGTAACTATTTATTTATTTTTAGAGGTTAGTTGTCGTTATGTTTAATTTAGGAATTTTCCTTATTTTTAGGATTTTAGGATTTTGAATTTTGAATCAATTTGTAATTAGTCTATAAAAGGGTGCTTATGACCCTTATTTTAGGAGTTGAATTTTGTAATTTGAGAATTAGAAATTGAGAACCGGAGGGTTACTCTTTTGTGAAATCCTTACTTTCTGTTTAGCCACTTTTCTATGCGCTTTCGGCATCAATTAGTGTAGAGGAAGATCACATGATCGGTCCAGTTGTGAAACCGGTTCTGATCAGAATTGAAAGATTAAAAAAATTATAATAATAAAGGCTATTATAACCTTGAAATAAATTATAATTACCAAAATATCTTAATTTCCTTCTTAGAACAACATCATTTTGAATTCAATCCAAATGACTTATATGCGTTTAGTTTATTGCCACTGTATCACCGATCCACCTTACTTGTATATTTCTTACTTGTATATTTCATATCCTTACTTTTTCTTTTTAAAGTACTACTAATCTTAGAAAAAAATCTATAAAAGCCTTACAGTGAGATGGAAGGTAAAAAGAGAGAGAATATATTATTGAATACCAGGAATTTCTAGGATATGCTTCAAAAGTAATGTGTAGGTATCATTATTATCATAATTATAATTACCATTGTTCTTTCATTGACATGGGCTTCATTCTGCTATATATTACTTATAAATTATATAATTAAAGACTAATTAAAGGAAGTTGAACTAGCTTGTTTTTGTTTCCTTTGTTTCCCAAATAAAATAATAATAATAACAGTAAAATGTGGAGGGTACTTCCTAGTGCATCATAATTTCATTATTCTGGTTTCGTTGTCTCACCGAGTATGATTATGGTACTAGTTTTACAATGCACCAAATTTGAGGAGCTAATGTCTTTCAAATAATAATTTTGAGCCCTATCTCAAAATAATAAACAAAAAAAATCACTACATATATACATACATGTATATGAGATCCACATCACAAATTCTTTATAGCTGAGTAAGCTTCAACATGAACTTCATAGCATTCACCATCCCATGACAAGTCATACGCCATTGCTTCCGTTATTCTTTGTTTCCATTTGGATGGGTTACTCCTCTACAAGCACGTGAAAGTCAATAATTAATGAGTCATAATTGCATGACTGGTTTCTTTCAAGAATATGAGTAAAAATTAATTAGTGAAAACCACGAGAAACTACATACAATTTCATCAATGGCAAGGCTAAGAGACATGTTTCCGAAGGTAGATTTGATTAACTGTGAGTACTTAGTGGCCTCGTGGTCTTGGTTTATGAAGTTCCTATCAAAAGGTATTGCCCTTGCAGATATAAATGATTTTAGTTTCATACAAGTATGGAGAAAAATCATCATCTATGACAAATATTTCAATGGACCATGGTTACCTGTTTGTGCTAGCATCTGTGCCAACTGCTATTGGAGCTGCTCCATATCTTAAAGCTTTGAGCTACACATGCAATTTATATAACTCAGTTGACATGTCCAAGAACACACATGAAAATCTCCACTTAGAAACAAAATTTGCTTAGATTAGGTTACTGAATACTGCACTGGACAAAATAATAATAATGAAGTGTAAGTTGATAAGCATCCAAGGTGAACCATCAGAACAGTGTTTCATGAAGACAACAAACAAATTCATATAGAAATTTTAATTTCGTTTAGAAACAAGCAACTTCCTAGAAGCTAGGCCACCAAATTTAATTAGTACATGTTTTACTTGAGGAGCTGATTAGTGGAGGAAAATCACCAATAAAGGGGAGGGGATGGACTTACTGGGATTTCATCAGTAGGATCAAGAAAAGATTGGCACAAGATAATGTCAGATCCTGCAAAGACTAAATTCAACAGAGCTTCATCATATGCAAGCATAAATTTAAGATTATCATCCTGCAGATTATGAATGGAATGGCAGATTGTTAGTAGCAGACAAAGCAAAATAACTATTATTAATTGAGCTTTCTACAACATAATATCATAATAAAGCAGCTTAATGACCAGATAAATTAAATTGAAGTGTTCATTCTGCTGGATAATGAGTTATGACAAGATATGTCCAGGCAGTTCGATTAAAAAAATGGAGCCAAAACGACTAATACTCAATGCATTGCACAGTAACATATATATAAGCAACCAGTTATGAACACAGTGTGGACCTTGAGTTCCTTTTGAAGTGATTCTACTGCCTGATTCGAGATTGAACTTTCACTGGACGCCACAAATATAAACTGCAGAGAATCAATAATATAATTATTCAAAACTAGTTTCGAACAGGAAACCCTCTGGAACAAGAATTTGCCAAAGCCAGATTCATTTAATACAACGTCTATTTACTTTGTGGTCTCATTACATTTTTTTCTTCATTATAAAAACAAGGACCAATAAAAATCATGTTTGTCCTATAAGCAAACAGATAAAAATTCATATGCATACTGCTATGTTCGCAGCTTTCTTTTAGAAGGAATTCTTATAAGCAATGCAATTACGGGAAGGTTATACTTATCACCATTTTAGACTTATCATTCTTACTACCTATTTGGTTATCGTTGGATTAATTTGAAATCAACGTTAATTTTTTTCCTTTTTCAACCGTTGATTTTAAGTTGATTCAACAGTAACCAAACAGGTAGTTAGAGTTGTAAAATTAAAATAGTAGTAAGTATAACTGCCCCATGCAACTCTATACTTTCCTGAAAAAGGAAAATAAATTTCGTAGAGTTGCAACCTGAACGTTGTGCTGCTTAGCATTCAAGATAACATCCTTCATCTTTTTCTCATCAAGGTCAGTTCCTTCTGAAAAAATGCATCCAACCTGATAAAAATTGCAATAACGAGCAGACAAGCCTAGTAAAACAACACGTACAAAATTGATGACATCATATGCGAGTAGTAGAAGTTATTGTTTATAAGAGACTGCTCCAAAAATTCAACTTTAACCATTAATTTTGCTCAAAGAAAATAATAAAAAATAATTTTAAAAAGAATAGTGAAGAAAATTTCAAGCATGAGCTTGGGGAGGGGAACGTAGGCACAAGTTTGTTCTCTTTTTCCTAGTTGTTTTATTTTTCTTTTCTTTTTCAATTTTTTGTTATGGAGGATGCCTCATCCTCTAAATTCCTTGTAATTTTATTCTCTTCATCTTATGAAGTTCTTTGTCAAAATAAATAACAAGTCTCGAGTTCAGAGCATATTTTGAAATTGTTTGCCATTATGCTTGCATTGAACATCTTTTAATCTGTGTTATCACATTCATATTCCTTTGGTTACATTATTCTTGTTCGTTGCATTCATAATTGGTGTTAATTATCAAGAGACAAGAGGTATTCATTGTAATCCTTGTTATATTGAACTACACAAAATTGGTGCTATTATATAGCAAACCAATTGAAGAATACAAAGAGACACACTCGATGTGGGACTTCTATACTATGTACACTCGATGTGGGACTTCTATACTATGTACAGCAACACTCCCCCTCAAGCTGGAGCATATAGATCGTATGCACCAAGCTTGTTACATATCTGGTCTATTCTAGGTCCTCTCAAAGACTTAGTAAATACATCAGCTAATTGATCATTTGAGTTGACAAAACGAGTGACTATATCTCCTGAGAGAACTTTTTCCCTAAGGAAATGACAATCTATCTCAATGTGCTTAGTCCTTTCATGAAACACTGGATTTGAAGCAATATGCAAAGCAGCTTGATTATCAGAAATGAGAGATGTTGGGCCAGTGTCTCCAAACTTGAGTTCCTTCAGTAGCTGTTTTAACCAGATGAGTTCACAGGTAGCTGTGGCCATGGAGCGATATTCTGCTTCAGCACTTGATCTAGCAACTACACTTTGCTTCTTACTTCTCCAGGAAATCAAGTTATCTCCAACGAATACACAATACCCAGAAGTGGATCTTCTATCAATAGGAGAACCTGCCCAATCAGCATCTGAGTATCCTACAACTCTGGTATGACCTTTGTTTTCATAGAGAAGACCTTTGCCAGGAGCAGTCTTGATGTACTTGAGGATACGGATTACTGCATTCCAGTGATCTTCACAGGGAGAATTCAAGAACTGACTTACTACACTGACTGCAAAGGAAATGTCTGGTCGAGTAACTGTGAGATAGTTCAGTTTCCCAACCAATCTTCTATACCTTTCTGGATCAGAAAATAGCTCCCCCTGATTTGGTAAAAGCTTGACATTTGGATCCATAGGAGTATCAACGGGCTTAGCATTTAACAATGCTGTTTCCTCAAGAATATCCATAGCATATTTTCTCTGTGATAGTACAATGCCATCTTTGGATTGGGCCACTTCTATCCCTAAGAAATATCGGAGTCTTCCAAGGTCCTTTGTTTGAAAATGATGGCACAAATGTTGTTTTATCTGAGTTATGCCATGAGTATCATTACCTGTAATGACGATATCATCAACATATACTACCAAATAAATAGAACCTGAATCAGAGTGTCTGTAAAAGACTGAGTGATCAGCCTCACTTCGAGTCATGCCAAACTGCTGTACAACAGTGCTAAACCTTCCAAACCAAGCCCGGGGAGACTGCTTTAGACCATACAAGGATCTTCGGAGACGACAAACTAGGTTAGACTCCCCCTGAGCAACAAACCCAGGAGGTTGCTCCATATAAACCTCTTCCCGCAGATCACCATGGAGGAAAGCATTCTTTATGTCCAGCTGATACATAGGCCAGTGATGAATGGCTGCCATAGTAATAAAGAGGCGAACAGAAGTCATTTTCGCCACGGGAGAAAATGTGTCACCATAGTCAAGGCCAAATATCTGAGTATAACCTTTAGCCACCAAGCGGGCCTTAAGACGGTCCACCTGACCATCCGGACCAACTTTAACCGTGTATATCCATCGACAGCCAACAACAGACTTCCCAGAGGGAAGGGGAACCAGATCCCAGGTACCACTACTCTGAAGTGCACTCATCTCATCAATCATGGCCTGTCGCCAACCAGAATGTGATAACGCCTCACCTGTAGTCTTAGGAACAGATACAGAAGAAAGAGAAGAGAGGCAAGCAAAATGGGATGGTGAAAGACGATGATAACTCAAATTTATTAAATACCTGGGAGGGGGACGAGAATCACGAGTACCTTTCCGGAGTGCAATGGGCACATCAATGTCAGACGGAAGGATCGGAGCTGCCGGAGGAGATGATGACGGAAGTGAGTCCACAGGAGCCTCAGTAACAATAGGGGCAGACTCGGGGGGGGGGGGGGGGGGGCAGGGTCCTGGGGAACAGGGGGACGTTGCCGACGATGATAGACCTGGAGGGGGGGAACAGGGGCGGGAACAGGGACGGGGACATCTAAAGAAGGAGATGGTGAAGGTATATAGTGAACTGAAACAGGTGGTAAAGGTAGCTGAGTAGCAACAGAATCACTGGGATGGGAGGAGGAGTCAAAGAATGGAATAGACTCAAAGAATGTAACATCCGCCGAGACAAAGTAACGACGAAGACTAGGAGAATAACAACGATAACCCTTTTGTGAGCGAGGGTAACCCAGGAAAATACATTTATGTGACTTAGCAGATAACTTGTCAAGACCAGGACTGAGATTGTGGACAAAAAAAGTAGAACCAAAGATGTGAGGAGTGAGTGGGTACAAAGGTTGATGGGGAAACAACACAGAATGTGGTACCTGATTATGAAGTACGGAGGAAGGCATCCGATTAATGAGATAACAAGCTGTGAGGACAGCATCGCCCCAATACTGGAATGGGATATGACCATGTAACAAAAGTGTCCGAGTAGTCTCAATTAGGTGACGGTTCTTGCGTTCAGCAACCCCATTCTGTTGAGGGGTGTGTGAACATGATGTCTGGTGAAGGATGCCGTGAGATGCAAAGAAGGTTTGAAACTGATGAGACAAATATTCACGAGCATTGTCACTTCGAAAAATGCGAATCGAAACACCAAATTGAGTAAGGATTTCATTAAAGAACTTGTTAAAAATAGAAAACAATTCAGACCGATTTTTCATTAAAAATAACCAAGTACATCGAGAATAATCATCAATGAAAGTTACAAAATATCTGTACCCCATAGTGGAAACGGTACGACTAGGACCCAAAATATCTGAATGAACTAAAGCAAAAGGAGACGAAGACCGACGACTGACACGATCGGGAAACGAACTACGAGTGTGCTTCCCTAACTGACACGACTCACAAGACAAACTAGATAAATTTGAGAAACGTGGGACCATCTTCTGGAGCTTAGCAAGATTGGGATGACCCAACTGAGCGTGGATAGTAAGCGGAGAATCCACAACAGAGCACACTGGAACAGAAGTTGAAAGCTGATAAAGGCCATTGGACTCAGATCCGACGCCAAGTGTCCTCCTCGAGCTCCGATCCTGCAAAATGACAGACTCTTTAGTGAAAGAAATAGTACAGTCAAGGGATTGAGTCAAGCGACTAATGGAAATAAGGTTGAAAGGAGAATGAGGAACATAAAGCACATTCTCAATGAGAATAGAAGGAAAAAGGAGAACAGTGCCAATCCCTTGGGACTGAACCAGTGACCCATTAGCCATAGTGATACTGGGCAAGGGACCAGACGTACAGAGAGAGGTAAATAAAGACTTATTACCAGAAATATGGTCAGATGCACCAGAATCGAGAATCCATGGACCAAGAGAGGGCGAGTGCGAAACACCAGCAAAGGAATTACCCGTGTGTGCACTAGAGGCAGTGGTACCAGGAGGTGGCTGTGATCCAGCAATCAAGGCAGAGTCCGAGGCAGGAACAGTAGTCTGAGCAAAATGAGCGGAGCGAGGAGGGCGACCATGAAGATCCCAACAACGATCAATAGTATGGCCCGACTTTTTGCAATGAGTGCAGAGAAAGCGTCTCGTAGAGGGTTTGCGTCCACGTGCAAAACCTTTGGAGACAAGGGCAGATGGGTCAATTGAAGAGGGAGCAGATACTGCAGGCTCCATAGAAGTCTTAGGTGGAATGCGAAGCAACGTAGACCAAACAGAGTCAAGCGATGGAACAGTAGTAGAGCCCAAGATCTGATCCCGGTTGACAGAATATGCCGGGGGCAAACCATAAAGAGCCATGAGCATGAAGAACGTGCTGCGTTGCTCAAGTTCTTTAGCAGGATCTGCAGCAGGCGGCAACAGTTCATTGAAATCATGAAGGAGGCCCTGAACTTTTCCCAAGTAAGCAGACATAGAGACATCAAGTTGTTGAGCAGCAATAGTAGTGATCAAATTTTGACAAACCCCATAGAGTCGCTGAGTGTCATTAGTATAAAGTGACTTGGCCTGACGCCAAACAGACTCACAAGTGACGTGAGCACGAAAAATCTGCTTCAAGGACGAGTGGATGGTAGACTTGATGATGCTACATAACTGAGCATCAACCTTTTTCCAATGAGGGCATACATCTACCGAGATGGACTCAGCCTTAGTAATGAGATGGTCAGTGTAGTCCTGTCCATCAAGCCAAAGTCGGAGATCAGAAGCCCAAGAGTCATAATTGGAGCCATCCAATTTGTCGACGTGCAGCGGAACATTAACATAATTAGAAAAAACAGGCGGGTCAGCCTTTTGAGAACCCTTGGATGCATCGTGGGGTGACAAATCAGCCATGGGTTACCTGAAACAAAAATGAAAAGCAACGAAAAGCAAAGAAACGTCTGTGAATAGTGACCAGCAAGGGAAAAGACACTGTAGGAAGCCGAAACGAAGTCGAAACAACAAAGTGAGGACAGATCCAAGTGCGCAAGGAGAAGACGAAGGGAACCGTGGTGGTACGACGGCCAACCGGAGTGGGACGCGCCGCTGCAACAAAACGAGTTGCAGCCGCTGTTTGACGCGCGTGTAGGAGGATCTGAGGATGGGTTCTGGACAGAAAGGAGCGCCTTCTCGTGGCGATCAGATCGATATGGGTTTCACCGGAAAACTCGCCGGAGACGGCGGTGGACGGCGGTCAACGGCGGTGTACGGCGGTGGACAGTGGTGCCTAATGGCGGCAGTGATCAGACAGGTCCGTAGACGATATATGGAAGCCGGAAACTGACAGATATGACTGTTTCCGGAAAAAAATATTTTACTCAGCAGAAAGTGGTCCACCGGAAAAAAAACGCGGATTAGGATTCCTCTTGTTAGGCTCTAGATACCATGTTAATTATCAAGAGACAAGAGGTATTCATTGTAATACTTGTTATATTGAACTACACAACATTGGTGCTATTATATAGCAAACCAATTGAAGAATACAAAGAGACACACTCGATGTGGGACTTCTATACTATGTACACTCGATGTGGGACTTCTATACTATGTACAGCAACAATTGGTTTTTGTTTGTTGGAGGAAATTGGGAGCAACTCAATTCATTCCCTTCTTGTGTTGCTAATTCTCTCAAATTTGTCCTAGAGTCTAGGCAGAATTTCAGATCTAGCAGGGTAAATGTGAAACTTACATAACTATGCTTACTCTAATCTAGATTTCAAGGAATGGACAAAATGTTAAAACAATTATATTAAACCCTTGAAAAGAGAAAAAGTGAGGAATCAACATGTAGAAAGCTGTTGAATGAGCGTTCAGAATATTATTTATTTTGAGCATGTTATATCTTTAGATAGTTAGACTGGTAGAGAAATTTTAGGGATCAGGATACTTTCCTCCTTTATTCTTCCCTTTATGAGGAAGGATATTTTCCTCTTTATTAGGTATATTAGTTTCCCTTTTAACTTCTGAGACGAAGTCTGAGACGAAGTCTTCATATACCGATGTACATTGGTATAGAAATTCAATTCAACCAATTCTCTATTTATGAAGGCCAACGTGTAAAGTATATAATAGTCGTGAAACTGTCCAAACTAAATATTTCAAGAATGCTTAAACTATAGTTGGCAAAACAACAACTTACATTATGCATATCCTGAAATTAGCTCATTGTATTCTTATATGATAATTATCTAATGAAGGGATTGCATATAAAATAAATCGTATCGATCATTTTCTCCTCATACATATTTGTCATGGCACACAAATAAGGCTTAAAAGGAACAAAGGGTGAGTCGCTTACAAGAATAATAGAAGCATGTTCAGATAACCCCAGCCGTTGCACCAATGCTACTTTGCAAACAGTTTTTCCATTCATATTTTCAGCATTGAAATTTTTTGGAAGAAAATAGTCTGTTGAAGGATCCCATGTGGATTTGTCTAATCCATAAGGAGCAATGACCAACTTGTCCCTGCAACCAAATGTAATTCTCCATTTTGAATACTTAGGAAAAGTCAGATGGAGAAGGCTTTAGTATAAAACCATGTTATTCAAACAGTACAGGGGGACAGTTTTAAAAGAATTAACTAATATATTTATCAACCGGTTCATTTGCGATGTTAACAATTTCAAGTTAATATTGATTTGCAAGAAAAAGAAAAAATAATCCCTCATCAAACATTAAACAAGATTGGAAAAATGTTTCAACTGCATACTTACCTATGAACATTTAAAGTAGGTTCCAGTCCATGACTCAAATTATGAACAATTATGTTCTTTGGATGGATGGAGGACATTATTACAACTCCATTCGAATAGACAACTCCACCCTGCAAATTTGAAGGAAGACTCAGTGTTGGACAGTCATAAGTAAATACACCTCAAGACTCAAAAAAAGACTTTGTGGAATGGCATATGATGTTATTTCAACAATTAAATACTTAATATAGCAAAGAAGTTAATTCTTCATATTAACTAACCTGCAATAACAAGCATTTATTCTGTCCCATAAGATGGGTTAGATAATAATTACTTAAAACCTCCACAATAAATGCTCAATGACAAAGCAACAATGTTTGTAAACATCACAAGACATTGCACATTTCTCAATAGTATGAAGATTGCAATGCTCTCATTCTTCCTGCAGGAACATAGGGTAAATTTGTCCTCTTGTTTTCCTTGAATGCGCGGTGGTCATTCTGTTGCCTTTTTAGCATGGTGTCATTAATGATAAGTGTATAATTTGATAAGGAGTGTTACCCACTACAAAAATTTGGAAGAATCAAATCCATGACTGCATAAGTTGCTGAGATTTTACTAAAGGATTAGGTCACTGCTCACTAGAAACACAAATAACTATGCCTTGTTCTAAGAAGCAAACTGTAATGATTCTCTAAAATTCACCAATTAATATTAAGGTGAAAGACTAGTCCAAGGTTCTAGCTTCCTATGCGTCTTCAAGAAAATGAAGAGAGGGGGGTGGGAAGCTAAAGCAAGAAAAGAAAGCCCCAATGGCTTCTTCAATACAATCTTGCAATTGTTATAGAGATTAAGTCAGACAAAAATAAAGAATATGATGAAAAGAAAGAGTGTTTTTCTGTATAACACTGTTGATTGATTACATTGAGAGACCCAATAGGTCCTATTTATATTGAGTACAAAGAACAATGCTAATAAATAGCAACAGTAAACTAAGAGGCTTATTTACAATAATAAGAGACATTAATAAATAAGGGAACAAATAGCAAGGAAGTAATAAATGATAATCTAGAATATTCTACACTCCCCCTCAAGTTGGGAGATATATATTGATCATTCCCAACTTGCTGATCAAATCCTCAAAGGTCGGCTTAAGTAAACCTTTGGTGAGAATATCTGCCGTTTGTTCCTTGGTAGGTATATATGACAAGCATACACTACCGTCTTCTAATTTTTCTTTGATAAAGTGACGATCGACTTCCACATGTTTTGTTCTGTCATGATGGACAGGATTTTGAGCAATGCTGATAGCAGCTTTATTATCACAATATAATCTGATAGGTAGGGAATAAGAGATCTTCAACTCTTCCAGAAGCCTTCTTAACCAAATTCCTTCACAAATACCATGGGCTAAAGCCCGAAATTCTGCTTCTGCACTGCTTCTTGCAACAACAGTTTGTTTCTTACTTCTCCAGGTCACAAGGTTTCCCCAGACATAAGTACAATATCCTGAAGTAGATCTTCGGTCCATTGCAGAGCCAGCCCAGTCTGCATCTGTATAAACTTCAATCATCCTTTTGTTCCCCTTTTTAAAGAGAATTCCTCGACCAGGGGTGTTTTTGAGGTACTTGAGAATTCTATAAACAGCACTAAGGTGTTTTTCCTTAGGAGAATGCATGAATTGGCTAACCATGCTCACAGCAAAAGCAATATCAGGACGAGTGTGAGACAAATAGATTAATTTCCCCACTAGTCTCTGGTACTGCTCCTTATCAACATCTTCCCCGTCCTCAACTCCCATCTTGATATTAGCTTCAATTGGAGTCTCTGCTGGCTTGCACCCAAGCATACCTGTTTCTTGCAACAGGTCTAGAATGTATTTTTGCTGAGTTAAGGAAATTCCTTCCTTACTTCGAGCAACTTCCATGCCAAGGAAGTATTTGAGAGATCCAAGATATTTTAGTTCAAACTGATCAGCTAAACATTTTTTTAAAAAGGCTATCTCCTCGGTATCATTACCAGTGACAATTATGTCATCAACATAAACAATAAGGATAGCAATTCTACCTTTGTCAGAGTGTTTAAAGAATAAAGTGTGATCAGTCTGAGCTTGGGTGAACCCTCTTCCCTTAACAACTTGAGTAAATTTCCCAAACCATTCTCTGGGAGATTGTTTAAGTCCATAGAGAGACTTCTGCAACTTGCACACAGAACCATCCCCTTTTTCAAAACCAGGAGGTGGATCCATGTAAACTTCCTAATGTAGATCACCATTCAAGAAGGCACTCTTGACATCTAACTGTTGCAATGGCCAATCAAGGTTGGCAGCAAGAGATAGTAGAACGCGGATAGTGTTAAGCTTGGCAACAGGAGCAAATGTCTCCTGATAATCAATCCCATGAGTCTGAGTAAATCCCTTAGCAACTAATCTGGCCTTATACCTGTTGATGCTGTTATCTGCATTAAATTTTATTGTGAACACCCACTTGCAACCAACAGTTTTCTTTCCTTTAGGTAATGTCACAAACTCCCATGTTCCATTTTTTATAAGTGCATCCATTTCTTCTAATACGGCGTTCCTCCATTTTGGGTCATCAAGTGCTTCTTGGATATTTTTGGGTATCCCGGTACTATCTAACATAGTGTTGAAAGCACGAAAACCTGGAGATAACTTCTCATATGAGATATAATGGGAAATAGGATGAGCAGTGCAAGATCTAGTACCTTTTCGAAGGGCGATGGGCATATCAATGTTGGTTGTGCTAGTGCATTCAAGTGGGTTGCTAGAGCAAGGACTCGAGTCAGGATCCTGGCAGTCTAGAGTCTCTTGATGTGTTTTGCGCCTGCTGTAGAATTTTCCCCATTTACCAGGAGGATCACAAGGACTGGGAGGATCATTAGACTCAGGTATAGTTGCTCCCCCTGTTTCCAAAGGCCAAGGTAAGACAACAGCTTCATTTGGTTTCCCAGGCTTATCTTCATCCATAGCAGTAGACTCCCCCTGAGGAGAAGTCGGGGAAAAAAAGGATTGTGTCTCATAAAAGGTAACATCCATGGAAACAATGACCTTACGGAGAGAAGGTGAGTAACACTTATAGCCTTTTTGATTAGGGGAATATCCTATGAAGACACATCTAATAGATTTAGGGTCAAGTTTGGACCTTTGATGTGGAGGAATATGTACAAAGACCACACAGCCAAATATTTTTGGAGGAAGAGAAAGAGCACAGAAAGAAGAAAAAGATTTAGTAAGACAAGATAAAGGAGAATGAAAATTTAGTACCCGAGAAGGCATTCGATTAATGAGATAAGAAGCTGTCAAGATGGCTTCCCCCCACAGATATTTAGGGACATGCATCGTGAATAAGAGAGCTCGAGCAACTTCAATTAGATGTCTATTTTTCCTTTCAGCCACCCCATTTTGTTGAGGGGTGTTAGGACAAGAACTTTGATGAATAATTCCATGCTGATTTAGGTAATCTCCAAGAATAGAATTAAAATATTCAGTGCCATTGTCTGTTCGCAGAATTTTGATAGGAGTCTGGAATTGAGTTTGAATCATAGCATGAAAATTTTTAAAAGTGGATGCCGCATCAGACTTGTCTTTTAAGAGATATACCCAACATACCCTAGAATGATCATCAATGAAAGTAATAAACCAACGAGCACCCGAGACATTTTTTTCACGTGCAGGTCCCCAAATATCACTATGAATCAATGTAAAGGGAGAAGATTCATGATATTTCTTAGGAGAATAAGTGACACGAGAATGTTTTGCAAGCTGACAAATATCACAAAGAAAGGAACTTGGCTTTTTATTGATAAATAAGTTAGGGAATAACTTCTGAAGATAAACAAAATTTGGGTGCCCTAACCTACGATGCCATAACAAAACATCATTACAATCATCTGATAAACATAGAGAGTGGTTTGAAAAAATCCTCCTTTCACAAAGATCCTCCTCCAAATAGTATAGCCCTTCTTCCTCTCTAGCACTGCCAATCATCATCCCCGAGTCCTGCTCCTGAAAGATACAAGCATTTGCAGAAAACTTAGCAACACAATGCAACTCAGCAGTAAATTTGCTAATAGAGATGAGGTTACAAGTAAGGGAGGGAACATGAAGGACTGAGTTCAAAATAATATGTTCAGAAAGTTTAATGGATCCCTTGCCCGCAATAGTGGAGAAATTTCCATCAGCTGTTCTTATTCGTGACGGGTGGTAGTAAAGGGTATAGGAGGAAAATAAGGTTGCATTACCTGTCATGTGATCAGAGGCTCCTGAATCAAGGATCCAACGATTACTACGTTCAACATGGAATACCATACCTTTTTGAGCAACATGACTAGTTGCCTCAGCAGGTTGAGACATCAATTTCTGAAATTGCTCATACTGGGCCTTAGAGAAGAGAACACCACCGGGGTTTGAAGGGACATGAGACCCCTCCCCCTTATCTTCAGAAGATACTTGATTAGCACGATTCTTGTTCTGACCTTTTGGTTTCCAGTTTGGTGGTTTGCCATGAATTTCCCAACATTTTTCACGGGTGTGACCACCCTTATTGCAATGAGAACACCAACGGTCAGAACGTTTTGAGTCCCCAGAAGGACGAGCAGTATTCTTTGTTATAAGGGCTGACCCATCAGAGGACTTAGAGTCCTTATCACCCAACATTACCTTTCGGCGAAGCTCCTCCCTTCGTACCTCAGAAAAGGCAGTGGCAATGGAAGGTAATGGGTTTTGCCCCAAAATTCTTCCACGAACATCATCCAGATCAGAATTAAGGCCAGCAAGAAAATCATAGAGACGCCTTTTCTCTATATAATTTTTGAATATTGCATTAGCGTCTAAACCTTGAAGGTCTGCTTTATCATAAAGATCCAACTCTTGCCACAATGTTTTTAGAGCAAGGAAGTATTCAGTAACAGTCATCCCTCCTTGGCGTAAATCTTTCACCTTGGTGTTGAGTTCAAAAGCCTGAGAGGCATTGCCCAGGTCAGAGTAGTATTCTTTAACAGCTTCCCAAATTTCTTGAGCCGTATCAAGGAATAAATAAGTTTGACTGATATCCGGTTCCATAGAATTAGTCAGCCATGTCATGACCAAAGCATTTTCAGTCACCCAAACATCATAGCCAGGTTCATGTTCTGCTGGTTGAACCTTTTTTCCATCCAGATACCCCATCTTCCCTTTGGCCTGGATAAACAACTTAACAAATTGACACCATTGCACATAGTTTCTACCGTTTAAACGGTGATTGGTGATCTGCATTGCTGGGTTGTCTCCAGAAGACGAAGAAATGGGAAGGGGTGAGGTTCCGGTCGAAACTCCAGATGAATTTTCAACATTTTCAGTGTCCATGGCTTCCTAACAACAATACCCAGAAAACAAAATTCCTCCAAATATGATTTTGACAAAACAGGAAGAGGGAAGGCAGACGATCAGAACGGGGTATGACCCGCCGGAAAAAAATGATGGGAGGGCGGCGCGTGGACCACACGCGCCGGCGAAGCTGAAGGATGTTGGTGGCGCATGGCGGCGCGTGGCTGGGTCTCCGGCGACGGGTCTTGTGTTGGCTGGCTCAGAATTTTGTTCTGGACCTAATGGTGGCCTTGGTTTTGTGGTTGGAGGTGTCTAGGTGAGGGTTCTGGCCTTGACAGAGGCAAAAAACAAAAAAAAAAAGAATGGAAGGGAAGTTAGAACAGGGAAGAGACTGGATTTTAACCAGCTCTGACAGAGGCAAAAAACAAAGGGTGGGAAAAAAAGGCCACATTAGTTGCACATACAACCAAGACTATATAACACGCCCCCTCACACGAGAGCCCATTGGGCTTGAAGAGTGGACAATGCAACAGGCCCAGCCTACCTGTGCTAAGAAACGCCACAAGAGAAAATGGGGGGCGACGAGACTCTGATACCATGATGAAAAGAAAGAGTGTTTTTCTGTATAACACTATTGATTGATTACATTGAGAGACCCAATAGGTCCTATTTATATTGAGTACAAAGAACAATGCTAATAAATAGCAACAGTAAACTAAGAGGCTTATTTACAATAACAAGAGACATTAATAAATAAGGGAACAAATAGCAAGGAAGTAATAAATGATAATCTAGAATATTCTACAGAATACAAGAGAAAAGATAACACCTTTAAAATATTGACAAGTTGTGTGTTAGTGTTGTCTTGCAATCGATCAGGGCGATGAAGTCTTAAAGGATCCAGTCCACATAAGGCCAACTTATCTGGTTGCTCAATACCCTATATCATAAATGGCATATCCAATAATCACAAGATTGACGTGATCAAAGAAAAAATATAACTCCATAACAAACTATGTAATTTTCCTGCAGATTAAATGCAACTTCCAGCTGGAAGAAATGTCAAGATTGAGAAAACCCAACACAAAATGCATATCCAACGGGGTAATATATGTAACTAACCTGTGAAGCGAAGCCATGGCATGTCAGTAATATTCTGGTTCTCTCAAGTCCCTAAACAAAACAAATGATTTAGAATATTGCAAATGATCTTTTTTCTAGGTAAACAACCACAAACAAAAGAATAAGTAACAACAAAAGATCTATGTGACAAACAGAACTCTGCACGCAACAAGCAGAACTCCGCAGAATTTGTTTTTCAAAAAGACAAAGCAATTTAAGGGCTTGATTATGCCACCAGCCATGGTAAGTGCAGTTTCCTATTAGGTACAGGATTGAGTAAGTAGAGATAGTCTCCAGCCCAGATGGTTGAAAAAAAGGATCATAGCATATTGACATTTGTAACAACAGCAGACGCCCACGATAATGCCAAGAGAAGGTGAGATGGAGTCAATAAGAACATAATTATTACATCTATGGCTTTTCGGAGACAGCAAGTAGCCAAATGACGTTGTCTTCTAAGATGTTTATCAGGACCTTGAACTTTCAAGAGCTGGATACTGTGTATTTTGAAGCCATATGGAATTCAATTTCCTTTCCTTGTCTGCCACTTATTCTCCGTGAATCAAACAGTATAATCAGTCATTGAAGTTGAGGCATTGCTATTATCTAGACCAAAATAGTTCCGAAATGAATTTTTTTTCTTTTTCTTGTATAAGTTACTATACCACATCTTACACCATTTGCAATACTCTCTGAATCTAGGTTGTCAGTAGCGACCCATAGCACCACTAAACTGCTATAGTAGCGGGTAGCGGCAGTCGGCAGCTACAACAGCAACGTGATGCTCACCGGTAGCGGCATAGCGTAACGGCATGTACAAATGTGCAATGCGACACTACCCACTATTTGACATTGATTGTGGAATTATGTGTTTGATTTTGTGGAATTCATAGTTCATTTGTGTTTAATTTTGGATCCTTCCTTTATGTTCCTTGTATTTGACATTGATTGTAGAATTATGTGTGACTTCTTATGTTTGAGCATTTATATTTGTGTAGTATTAGACTGTTAGTATAATATATGTGGAATTAATACTTCACCGTAGAGGCAATACCGCTACCGGCCGCTAACTGCTACTGACAAGTATGCTCAGAATCTTATCTCCCATTAACATATGCTTTCAGACCAATCAAAATTATTAAAATTTAAGGACAGACACCTGATTAGCAAATATATCCCAGAAAAGGGGCCCAACAATGGCAGTCTCCCAGTTATGCAGATGCAATACATCAGGTTGCTTCCCACATTTTACTATATAATCCAGTGAGGCACGACAAAAATAGGAGAACCTGATGGCACAAGAAGATATCATATCAAGATTGTTGACAATTATGTAGACCATAGTAAAGGAAAAACCTTAATTCTATCAGATTTAACCTTCCTCCCACTTATAACCGGAAAGTAAAGTGCTGATGAGATGCTAGCTATCAGAGTATCACTTCTATTTCTCTCTTTAAAGATAGTTTGAGTGCACAACAAAGGTGGTCATAATGGGTTCCAAAATAGTATATAATAAGCAAAAACTACTAAATGTTTTTCCTCCAATTAGCTTCCCTTCCTTTGACCTTTACAACTTGTGAACTAATTCATCCAATTTTACTGCAATACAGGCAGCACTTAAAGCATATATTGTCAAGCTCAAAAACCCACATTTGAAGAAACTATCCTGCCTTCCAGTCTCTAATTTTAATTCTTAAATCAATTTTTTCCCTTAAAAAACATTTCAAAATTATCTAATTAGCCATATATGGACTTAAAATTTTATACTTTTCTTTATTTTACCATGATAACAGATGCAAAGTAGATAAACCGATACAAATATGATTTCACTCACCTTTCAAAATCATCTGGGTAGCCATATATCATCTCACGGCTGAAAAAGGATGGGTAGTCCAATGGCTCGATCAAAGTGACTCCAATGCCATAAACAACACTGTCACACACTAAGAGTAAGTATAGAGGAAAGGAAAATCAGTAGATTTTAAACAAAGAAACAAGACGTTAAACTTCATCTCTAATATATTCCATTAATTCTTTCATCACCATCAGTACATATTATTTGACATCCATTTATATGCAGACTTATGGTAATTAAATAAACAAATAAAGCCAAACTAACCCAGTCCAAATATTGTTTCTATGTAATTGACCATTAAAATATGAGTAAGCCTCTGTATTAACTTGACGCAACCCTTGCACTTCATCCAGGTTCAAACATGCATACCTACATGAAAATTAGATACAGCCAAATTAAGGAATTATAAATATCAGGGAACTATTAGACTAAAATAGAAATAGAATAATAGACATTAATGTTTAGATACAGAGCATAAAATAGAATAAGAAGTCCAGTGCTCACTTTGTTTGACAATTAATTGAAAGAAATAACAGAAGAAGCAAGGAAAATAAAAAGGACATAAATTTCTTAATTACTTTGGCAATATAACCTCCACCAGATGGCCCTTTCTTTGAAGTGCACGAGATATGCCAGTCACATATGGTGCTATAGATCCTCTACGGATCAACGGTGTCATTTCTGTGCAAATGTGAACAATATGAAAACCATTCCTGAATGAAGTTAATACGATGAAGAACGATCAGATTTTAAAAAATCCATCTAAAATAGGAAAACTGAAGGAAAATAGGAAAAATAAAATAAAGAAATATGTGAACATAGTATCAATTATGAACAGCAAGCCTATAATGTGAAGACAATCCACGGAATTCGCAAATAGTTAGTAGCATAGTTCCAACATAAACCTAGACTGACTAAGGAACATATTCTTCAATAAATTCTTTACTACTTATACAGAAAACATATACATCTGCTAATTTTTTAGATTCAGTTGTTCATGTCTCTGGGCATGCTGAGCTGCTTTTCAGTAATTTGCACATGCCACAAGCTGCATGTCACTATCATTCAGTAAAATAAAATGGCTGGCAATTTTGAAATATGTTTCTAGGAGTTTGAGTAGGCAAGTAACATAACGTATGTTGTAAGGTTAAAACATGAAAGAATAAAATGATCAAATGCAGGCAGGATTTACTTTTTGCTTCCATCTGAAAAGTGACGAAGTTGTCCCAGAAGTTCAGAATCTCTTTTGTTTGATATGACATTAAAAACATCAGCCACGCTCACTTTGTGGTTTATCACCAAACTTCTTAATTCAGATGCCTCTCCAGGGCTAATCATGCTGCTAAGGACCATTGAGTCAATCCGAAGCAGCAATTCTGAACAAATTGATAGTGTATCTGGGTTACAAAATACAAGCAGAAACATTTAGTTCAATTAATCATCTAGTGATAGTGTAAAAATATATTGTTGCTAAAATCCTATTAATAATAGATTTTTTTTTTAGATGTTAGCACAAAAATCTGCAAGCTATTATGTATAAGGTATATGAGCACAAATTATGATTGCTGTATGATGATACTACAGAAATTTTTGAAATAAAATAGGAAATGTTATTAGAAGAGAAGTAACACAAATAAATAGGAGAATAACACATCCTATTGAAAAAATTGAAGCAAAAGAAAAAGAAATTAATAGTTTTAGCAAAGGAAAAGAAACGTATTTCATAATGGTTTTAGGGAAGAAACGAACATCATTTTAAAAAAATGATAAGTAACACTGAAGATAATCTACCGGCTGCTAATAACAAGTAACATGCACTATTCTACAATTGACCAAATATGCTGTATACATGCCATGACGCAGTCACCTTTAGCAGCTCCGGCCAGCTTTTCTGCTTCCAATTTCTTTATCTTACTGAGTAAAGACTGTTTTTCTGTGTTTGTTCTGTTAAGTTCCTCAATAGCCACTAGGCGCTGTTTGTTTAAGTATAGTATGTCTGCATGCAATAAGAAAATACACCAGAAGTAAGTAAACACTCTTCTGCAAAGCACAAATATGACTGAGGTCAACACCCAACAAACCCCCAAAAGAATGCAAGTTAAGGTATTGAAAGAACCAACTCTGCTGAGCTTCTCTGAACAATTGCCAAATATCACCATGTTTCAAATTCTGGTCATCATCAGAAGTTGACTAAAATAAAAAGGAAAAAAGATACAATAAGAAGGCAATGAAATACTTGAAAAATAAGGAGAGTAAGTAGGAAATGTGAAAAACACAATACATTTGAAACAAAAGCAGCATACCTGGGACATGTCCACATTTGTGTTACCCTCTAACCTAGTATACAGATTCCTAAATTAGTTGCCGAGTAGCCTCTTGTATGAACAGACTAATATATACAAGAAAATATTTATTTAAGCAAAAAAGAAAAAGCGAATACCTTTGTTCATGTAAGCCATTGACATCTCCATTATTCCTGAAAATACGTTATAAGAATTAAACAGGAAGAACAGGTAAAGCCATGAATCATTTGAGAGATCAATTATATAAACTATGAACGGTCACTGCAAAAATGATTGCTTTTTACGCAATGAGGCATCGAAGTTGGATTTAAAGGACACCCCATTTAGAAAATACAAGAATTGTTAAGGAGAGAGACCCAAATGCTTAAGACGATTTAAACTCTGACCTCAAACAAGAAAGAGGAGGAAGCGCAATGGGTTTTGGCATGGAGGAGAGTGAAAGACGAGGAGGGTAAGGAATCATCACTGTGTGGAACAAAAACAATGTCCCCATATCCTGATTTCAGCCACCAAGTGCTGGTGCTGCTAGTTACAGGTTACTGATGATATTACAACACACCCGTGTCCATGGACAATGATAATGTAACTATGTCACATCCATAGCACACGATGTTTAATCTAAGGGTGTCTTTGGTACAGGAGAAATTTTTTGGTGACCGGGAATCATGATTAATAGGAATTCAGTAGAAATTGAGTTTACTTGGAATCTTACGAAAGATATGTTTGGTTCGCTAAAATATTACCAGGAATATTAGGTAAAAATTACTGATTCCATATTTGGTTTAGAACGAAATATGACTTGGAATATGAGGTTACTTTACAAAAATAACCCCAAACTATTTTTACTTTTGTAATTGATAGATTGGGTCTAGATTTTTATGTGTATTGGGGTATTTTTGTCTCAAAATTTATTGTTGTGCTTTCCCTTTACTTGGTATTCTGATTAGTATTCCGAATTACCATATTATTTTTGGTAATCTGAATAGTGACTTTTCTTTATAAATCAAATTACCGGTAATCCTTGGATATCCGGGAATCGTAATTTATTCCTTCTACCAAACGTGGTAATTACATTTACCAAAGAAGGATTACCGGTAATCCTCTCCAAAAATTTGAACCAAACACCCCCTAATGGTTAATCTCAGCTACTTTGAAACTACCACCACAAAAGACAAGACAACTTGCCAACTACACAACACTATTCCAGTCACGAGGTTTTACTGGCCTATCACCTGTGATAAAAGGGGAAAGTATTTATAATTTATGTCATTTCACCTCCTAACTGAGATTTACATATTTATTTATTTATTTTTGTCAATTTTTTTTTTTTATTTATCTTTTTTTTCTTTTAAAATAATTTTATATCCTTTAAAATGATATATATTTTTTCTATGATAAAAATATTAATATCCCAAAAAAAAAGCATTTAAATATTAGAGATAAATTATATTTATAAATTTTTTATTTATTAATTTTACAAATTATATTATATACTTTTCAGAGTATGTTCTTAATCGAGTCTACTCTCCGTAATACAAGAGTTTGTAAATAAAATATTAACTTGATTGCTTAGGCAGAAAGTTCGAACTTAAAATTGATGGAGCATCAAAAGTCAAAACCTTGGTTGCATTGGCTATAGTAAATGGAAGAATATCCCACAATAAATGAAAAGGTTGAATATATTTTTTTTATATTGTATGAAATAAATTTTATTTCTTATATATACATAAAAATATGTGGCAGACTCATATAAAGAGAAGAAGGAGAGAAAGAAAAAATATGGATATTATATATTTTTATAGGGATATGTTATTCTATCTATCCTTATTTTGTCTACCCTGGCCTACCCCTTTCATATCATTTGATTATAATCTTATCTAACAGTTGATATTTGTGATATAAAATAAACTTTTTTTCGCTTTTTTTTTCTCACTTCCTCCCGCACCTTTTTTCTCTCCTTTCCTTCCTCTCTTCGTCTGCGACTTCTCTCTTCGTCTGCGACTTCTCTCTCCGAAAATGAAAAACCCACCACAGTACCTGCAAAGAGTGAAAAAAATGGGATTGGAGTATGAAAGTCCCAATTTGTTTTTTTTTTTTACTTGAATCTAGTGGAGTAAGCGGTAATAAGATTGTTTTTTTTTTTTTTTTTACTTTAATCTAGTGGAGTAATCGGTAATAAGATTGTTTTATTTTAAGCCAAAATTTATAAAATAAACCTTTATTTCTTCCTCTGCGACTTCTCTCTCCCGAAATGAAATACCCCGGTGTCTGATTAGTAGCATAGAGACTTTAAGTATTGACGGTAAATCAGTAATAATGTCTTATTTTAAACCAAATTATAAAAATATCTTATTTCATGTTTGGTTCCTTTATCGAATTTGTATGCATTTCGTGAAGAATGATAGCCAAAAGGACGTGAAGAAGAGAAATTGATTCATAGAAGCAGAGGATTTGTTGCAATTTTTTGTTTCATTACAAATAAAGCATTTTTTTGTTCGATTTTTGATTCATAGAAGGAAGGGTGTGGGCAGAGGAAAGAGAAAGGGTGTGGGAGGGAGTAAGGAGAGAGAAAGAGAAAAAAGAGTTTATTTTATTTCGTAATTATGGACCGTTAGATTAGACTGTAATCAAACGGTGATGAAAGAGGTAGGCAAAGGTAAGTAAAATAAGAGTAAGTAGAATAACTCATTCCAATTATAATTGTTCATTCATTGACCTGGGCTTCAACATGCTCTATATTGCTTATAAATTATATAATTAAAGACTAATTCAATTATTTGACTATTTAGCACTAGAAGGAAGTTGAACCAACTCATAAGTTACATGATAGTCCATTACTGAACTAGAGCCTATTTGACACTTTTTTCTTAAGTCAAAAGTAACTTTTATGTTGTTTCCGAAAAAAAAAAAAAACTTTTATGTTAAAGTTAAAAAAAGAGCTTATAATATAAAGTCAAAAATTGTTTAGCGATTATATAAAATTTTGATGATGTTTTTTGAATTTTGAAGAGGGGCCATGAAATGATTTGTCGTTAGAATAAAGGATAAATATAATAAGGATAAAACTAAAACATAAAACGAGAACTCCAAAAAGTTGACATATATTTAAAAAAAAAAAACCCTACTGGGAGCTTTTTTTTTTATTTGTTATAAAACAATTCTTTTTACGATAAGAATTTTTGTAAAATTATTTTTGACTAAATTTTTATTTTCAAGGTGAAGTGAAAGTAAAAATAAAACTTGTATAAGTTTGAAAATGGTGATTGTCCTTCTCCTTCCTCGTTCCACCATTTTCACGCAAAATATTATCAACTAATAAACTTGTATAATTATTTAATTTAATAAAGATTAATCAGCTGAATATGTGAACAATGAACATGATGATATGTATTTATCTTAGTTAATTATGATTGTAAGGTAATTAACTTTGAGCATATGTTGGATATTTGAATTATCTTGATTGATTTATATTGATTAATTTTTATATTTAAAGCATTTATTTTGATTAATTAGACCTTGATATTTACAATTATTTCCGCGGAAATAATAAGTAAAAAACAATGATGTTTTAAATAAAATCCAAAGGAATGATCCTTGGCAAAATTTAAAATAGTGATTTTGGAGAGGGATATATATATATATATATGTGTGTGTAGGGGTGGTAAACAAACTAGGGGCCTTACAGAAGCTTTTGGCTCGGCTCGTGAAGGCCTGAACCTACTTGTCTGAAATTGGTTATTGGAACCAGGCTTGGACTTGTATAAAAGCTCGTTTAATAAGAATGCCCGACTCCAATTCAAAAGCTCGGCCTTAGAATCTCTCAGGCGGACCTAGTATATTAATTTTTACTTTTACTTTATATTTTTTATACTACTTGTAATAATCTCCTCTCTCTCCTCAATCCATTCCTGGTTAAACAGATTTTTTGAATAATTTTGTTCTATATTATGTTGTTTGGATATACATTGAATTTATGAATATTTATGGAATTACCAGTGTTGTTGATTGTATATCCTGTTTGGATAAATTTTTGTTGTCTTATTTTTTTTTAAACAGGTTAACAGGTCAAACTAGACTTTTATTTTTTGTAAATAAGACATGCCACATGCCGATAATTATATTTGTAATAGGTAACACACTAGGTCAGGCTGACACATTTGAACACATGCTTAACCTTTTAAGACCAAAGCTCGGCTCGGCTCGGCCCGTTAACACCCCTATGTGTGTGTATACATATGGGTCAAGATCATTTTACACCAGTATAAGTTACACTTTTAATCTTGTCCGTTAATCCCACTTATATTTAAGGACTCAAATTTTTAGTAATACGAGTCATTAGATCAAGTGGATCAGTGGTCAAGATTGAGATATTATTAGTTAAAAGAATGCCGATTTAAAAAATGAGTTTCACTTCTTACAATTGAGGTCAAGGTGAGCTTATTGTCTTGTACTCTTGTACTCCTAATTTCCATTGTATATTTTTTTTAAGGGGTGAATTGAATTAGGATTTTAAAAGATTTTTTTGGGAGAAAAATCTTATAAATTTTAAAAGGCTATTTGGAATTGGAAAGACTTTGAAGACTTTTTTAAAAAACTTCTTTTACAATCAAGATTTCATAAGATTGGATTTTAATAGAATTTATAAGATTTGAAAGGACAATGTGGATTTATAAGATTTTAAAAAACTATATAATTTTCTAACAAATATTCAAAATTACAAGAGTCAATAAAAAAAGATAACAAAGAAATGCAAAGAGATTAATAAAAATAAAATGTAATATAATTTTCTCAATTAGTAAAATTTATGATAATTTTTCGTTTGGAATTTTTTGCAATTAATCTTGTAAATTTGGAGGTTTTTGTTCTAAGTGATGAGAGTTTTCTAACCATATATCATATGCACGTTTTCATTGAGTATTCCAATAAAATTTCGAATCTGAATTTATGGATTTTATCAGATGAGTTTAGAAATTTCTCAAATTATTTTCAATCGATACATTGAAATCTTAAATTGCTTTGCACATTTTGAAAAACAAGTTTTTAGTGATCTGTTGACACAAAAATTGTTTGAAATCGTTTCCTGTAACAAAGGAATTTGATTCATGATTGTATTATTATGAAACATAAGGTTCATATTATAAAAGTTTCAATTTTTCTTTAAATCGATCTTGTTTCATTGATATAAAATGAAAATTGGTTTGGGGTTTTTGTTCCCTTATTGTTTTTTTACTGTTTTTTTGTTACTTTTAATACAAAAATCATGCATTTTCGTACCAAGAAAAATTATGACCAATAGCTTGAAAAATCATTTTTAAACTTTCAAATTTTTTTAAAAATTACTCCAAAATTTGCTGTTTTTGACATGAATTTTAAAATCTTGTTGGGTTATTTTGTGATAAAAATTACTCAAAAATATATTATTTTTGAGCTTTGACGAAGCTCCTATGGCAGAACTTGGTTTCGAGCGGGTTGACCCACCAAAGGAAGAAGAAGACACTGCAATACAGAAATCACAAGAAATCCTAGGGGTTAGGGTTAGATTGTGAGAGAGACATCTTATTTATATTTCTCATTAAAAAGTCTCATGAAATTCACACCGATAGAAAATTCATTAAAATCTTAAGATTTTTGAATACCACAAGATTATTTTTTCTCTATTTAAAATTCTGATTGAATATCATTAAATTTGGACGGACTCTAAAATAATCTTTTAAAATCATAATCGAATTAAAATCTTAATTGAATACCAATGGATTGTTTTGTCTAAAAATAATCCATTAAAATCTCAATCCAATACATCTTCTTATTATAAATAAAAATTAACCACGTGACGTAATACAACGTATCTAGATCCCTCGTGACAAGACCAATTTTAATGGCTTAGTTGTTAATTATTTTTTGTTTTCTTTGGGTAGAGGGGCCAAAATGTACGGGCCCAAATACACTTTGCAAGCTCTATCCTTTTGGTATAATCGGGTCGGGTCGGGTCGAAAGTTGGAGTTTGGAGGGGCAGAGTGGGGGGGTCGGGGGATGGAAATTTCTGGAACAACAAAATAAAAAGACGTTCCCCTCCCAATGTTTATCTCTTTTTCTTCTGCCCTAATCGACCATCCCATCGCTGCACAGGGAAGAGATCAAGGTATGCTAGATCTCATTCTTTTTTTCCCCAATTTTCGACCTTTGCATTCCCTCCGTTACGCCCATAACATCAATTGTTACCCCACCGTTTCAATTTATGCTCATTATTGCGTTTCTCCCTTCTTTATTTTCCCCCAAATCCCCAATCGATGCGGGTGCCTCTCATCAATCAGTTGATTTTGTTCATTGGTTTTTGCTACGGGACCTTTTAATTCATCTCGCTGATCCTCCCAGTGTGTGGCAATTCGGCAAACAATCATGCATTTTTTTATTTTTCAATTTTAGCGAATTGTTACCCTGTAAGCCTAATTTTAGTGTTTCTGAGAAAATATTCTAGCTTTTTGTTTCTAGGTTATCGGGTCCTTTTCTTTCCCTTACAATTTTGTATTTTAACACTGTCAGTTACAGTTGCTGAGAAATTCAACTTCGAATCTAACCTTTATTTGCATTGCTTTGTGTATGGGTACCAACAGAGCTGGCCTTCAATCAATCAAACCCCTAATTTTTTGTCTCCGAATATTTCGTAATTGTTGATTCTCTAGTTCTACTTGAAAAGGCAATGCGGGGCTATGACAGAGATGTAAGCTTTCTCAACTTCAACGATTGAGATTCCGATTGTTGTTATTGTTTTCTTATCATTACTTTCTTCCCTAATTGAGTCACCTTTTGTGGTAACTGTTTTATGCCTTATATTCATCTCCTATTTCTTATCTACAGGAACTACAGGATTACGATGATTATGAGGATGAGGGACTGGAGGGAGGGGAAGAATACGAAGAGGACGAAGGGGAAGAAGACGAAGAGGAAGAACCTCGAAAGCCAACAAAGGAAGAATTGGACTACCTTGAATTGAGGCAGAAGTTGAAAGATTCTATTAGAAAGCAGATGAAGAAGGAGAATAGTACTTCCCTTGCAGATTCTAGTGCTAGAAAGAAGAAACTTCCTTATGATAAGTTAGTCTTGCAACTGTCTTTTTAACCATGTACATAGTCATTATATGCTAGAACCAATCTCAAGTCAAAAAAATTATCCTATATTGGTTAGGTATATGGTTCAAGAGTTCTTTTTATTTATTTTTCTGAAAGTTCTATTGCATCTTCTACCTACAGTAACATACCATTGACTTGGGGACATAGTGTCATTTATTTGATAAAGTTGCTTGTTTATCGAGGCAATTTGTATGAAATCAGTTGCTTCAGGAATATAATCCCATTATCTTATTTGCCTCAGTTTTGGAAGCTGCTTTTCTAACGACTTTGTGGCTTTTCTCTACATGTCTATTGATAATTTGATGTACTCTGCTTTATTTAACCTACATTTGTTTGTTCTTTTAACTGAGGCTCTTATTTTTAATTTTGATTTATGAGTAATGGCTTTTATCTTGCTTTCAATTCAGGTTTGCTTGGCTTTAAAATTTCTGTTATCTCCTGTCTCTAACAATTTTGAGGCTGCAGATTTTGTTATGCTAACCTTCTTGCTTGTGTGGTTAATAATTGTGCATGCTTTGTGCTCTTCATCAATATGGTTTGTAGTTGCTTAGCATGGATAAGATGTGTAATTTGTTAACAGGAATAATTTTAAAATGTTGTCCTCAATCTTTATCTGTTGCTGCAGTTATGGGTCCTTTTTTGGCCCTTCTCAACCTGTTATTGCACAAAGAGTAATCCAAGAGAGCAAGTCATTGTTAGAAAACCAGCATTTGACGCCTAGGCTTTCTAACTCACCTCACATTGTATGTATTCAGAACTTTTAATTTTTGCATTCATTCTAAATCTTTTTTGTAAAGCTCTGTATGATATCAGTAATCTTCATTTCAAGCTTTTATAATTAATTGTGATTTACCTATTTTAGGTATGCTGAGTATTTTTATTATTATTTTTAAGTGTGATGTCATGTGTGGTAAAATGATTGTTTGGGGTCTTATGGCAACTGGCTTCTGTTTCCCATTTAGTAATGCACCCAAAAATTAAACTAATAAACAAAAGAAAACAAGTTACATAAAAATCTTTAGCTGTTAAAATATATTATATGATTCCTTTCCCTCTCTTGCCTGCCATCATATGATTCGAGGGATGCCTAAAAGATTTCTAATGGTTTATATGTGGTGTTTTTCTTTGATTTTCATTTTAATTATTTATTATTTTTCGTTATCTATTGATGTATTAACTTTTAACTTTGATGTGGAGTTCCTTAAGCCTGACTTCCTATTGTGAAACTCCCTTAGGAGTGATTCCTGAAGTGAGATTGGTCAAAGATTTGTCATATTCTGCTCCTGTATACGAAGAGAGGAGTTGTTAAATATCTCCTGAGTTTCTTGCTAATTTTTGTCTTGCTTTTATATCATTCTTCAAATTGCTGTAGTTGTCTGTTTTTGCTCGATGCCTTTCGCTCATTGCTTTTCCCATTACCAGGAATATGTAGCAGCTAGGTGTTCTTTAATGCCTTTTTTGCCTTGTAGTATTTCCTTGATGCAGCTTTCTCATAATAATCCTCCTGTCTGCAGAGCAAGAACACAAATAAAGTATCTAATGTAGTATCAAAGTCTTCAGCTCATAATCAGCGACCCAAAGTCAGTGAGGTATTGTAGCTATTGTATAAAACTTCTCTTGTAATTCATAACTGTTTAGCAATCATCTTCTGAAATGATTGTTATGAACTATTGTGTTGAAGCAGAAGAAAGTTAAAGCTGAGAAACTTAAGGTTATCAGAGATTACTCATTTCTTTTGTCTGATGATGCGGAGCTTCCAGCTCCTGCAAAAGAGCCTCCATCTCGGAATGCATCTGTACGCAATTCTGGTAGGTTGCTGCTTGGATGTTTTTGTGGTGTTTGATTGCGGGGGTTAGAACATATTACTGTAATTGAGAAACTTATACAAGGTTTTTGTTGATGTTGAAGAGGGAAGACCAGCTCAAGTTGCAGGGTATAGTAAACAACCTTTGATCAATGGTGGTAAGCATGTTCATGGAAGTGGTGCAGACCGGAAATTTGTTGCTGGGGCTAGTCATTTACCTCCCAAATCAGGGTTGAATAATAAGCTAAGCTCTACCAGTAAGTCCAGTAAGGCATCGGCAGATTCTAGAAAACAGCTCGGAAGCAACATTGGGAATGGGCCTAGCCGGCCGATGGGGCCAAAAGGCTTACCGTCAAAGATGCCTGTTAGTTCCATGGGGAATGGACCAGGCCGGCCAGGGGGGCCAAAAGGCTTATCTTCAAAGATGCCTGTTAGTACCTTGGGAAATGGACCAGGCCGGCCGGTGGAGCGAAAAGGTTTACCTTCAAAGATGCCTGTTAGTACCATGGAGAATAAATCATTTACATCTGGTAGAAAAAACCCTATAAATGGTATGCAGAAACCTCTCCCTTCAAAGGTACACTCGTCTGTTACAAAGCAGAGTCTGGAGCAAAGAAAAGACTCAAGAGAACAGAATAAACCTAAAATGGTAGAAAAACAACCAGTGGCATCATCAAAAGCTCAGGTATAATGCTATTTACATATGCACATATATGCATAATGTTAAGGATTTTTTCCTTTGAACTTGTTCTATATATCCTGTTATTAATATATATGTTGATTTGCTTTACAGATAAATAAGCCACTTAAACAAATTCCAAAGCATTCTGATTTGCAAGATCACCGCCCCAAGAATAAGGTTAGGAAACGATACCCCGATGAGGATGAGGATGAGGGTGAGGGTGGAGTGGATTATAGCACAATGATCAGATCATTCTTTCAGTAAGTTATTAATTTTTCTTTTTATATGTAGAAAATCTTGGTTTCTGTACGCTGTTTTTTTTTTTTTTTTTTGTGGAGTTGAGAGATTGGAGAGAGAAAATATTGGAAACTTAGAATTATTTTTTGTTTTACTTCATTAATTTTCAGATTCAGTTCATATTTTGACTGCTATTGACTTTTGTTTGGGTATGTTTAGATTCCCATCTATATCCACTGAACTTTATACCTTTCTTCGTTTGGTTTGAATTCTGAATTGTGTTTGTCAAAATAATCTATTAGTGGGTTCCTGATAGTAATTAGTAACATCATTTTTTTGGTTGGTGGGGCTTGATTTCATGTACCTGATTATTGATCAATTTCTGAATGAGTGAATCGTTTTTTATCACCGAACGTCCTCCCCTTCTCAATTCTTATGATTTAGAATAATTGATTATCATTTTGTTTGATTGTTTGCAGATACAATCCCAACAATTATGTTGACGACGAAGATGATGATAATATGGAGGCAGGCTTTGATGAAATCTTGAGAGAGGAAAGGAGGAGGTTTGTTTCTCTACACTTAAACTTCGCATATACTACTTGTTAATTATACATTTGCCTGTTTATTTAGTTGAGCACAATATACCTAATGTGAGGGAAAAACCTTTCTTTTCTTATGTTTCTTTATATTAACGGGGCCTACTCTGAAACTTTTATTTATTAATTTTTTGTTGATTTGCATAACGTATGTTTTTTATGTCGCCCTTTACGCGATCTCTTTTTTTTTTTTGGTAAGCATACGATTTCTTTCAATAAAGAGCAAGAGGAATGTTTGGTACATACTCTCATACATTCTCTTTTCAACACTTACTTTTTTATTGGATGAAATCCTATATTGGTATCATTGAATAACTTGGGACCACTCTCTATTAGTAAGGTTAGTATGAGATTTCATCCAATAATAGTGAGGTTGTCGTGAAGAGTCTCAAAGACTGTTATTATCATTTTATGCTGTATCTTCCCAAGTATCTTCCCAGTAATTCTCCTACTACTTAATAAAGTATTAAATGAAAAAGTAAATGTATTTAATATATTGGTAATCTTTTGGGTTTACTATAAAAATTAATAAAAAAATCTAATATTTTGGGGTGCTGATGATTCTGTGTAATATACAATCGCAGTGCCAAAATTGCTAGAAAGGAGGATGAGGAGCAACTTAGGTTGATAGAAGAGGAGGAAGAAAGAGAGCGAAGAAAACGATTGGCCAAGTCAAAGAAGCGCGCGCAGGCTTGATGAGTAACCATCTAAACACCAAATACCATACTTTGGTTTCCATTCCTTGTCATTGGTTCAAATGGAAATTCAATTGCCTTGTTCCAAGCGTTGTTTGATTATGAGATTTGCCAAAGTCAGTTCATCAATGATTATAACAAATCTATTTGCTCACATTCGAATCTGATGTTAGTTTGAGTTACTTGCAAAAGTAAGTCACATTTTATTAAATGAATTATGGTAGTTGTATAATTTTTTATTTTTATTTTTCATTATTCGTCATACAACTACAATCATCTCAACTAATAATTTTTTTTATTTCATGGGGAGCTAATGCTGGAAACTACTAGCTTAGTGCTTGTAAATTCATCCACAATGTCCTTTTTTTAAGGTCAAAATTGGGTTTGAGGTGCGGAAGAATTAATTTCTTTTGTAGCAGATGTTTGGATAATTTGTTTGGTTTTCGAAATAAATTATGGTTAATGAGATTTATTTTGGGATAAGTAAATTTTAAGTGTGGCTTGAATTTTTTTCAAAAAAATAAATAATTTAGGGAAAAGTATTTGTTATTTTAAATGACATATAGTTATGTCATTTTAGGGGAGAGATAGATGCAAAATAATCTTTTTATTTAAATTTAAATTAAAAAAAAATCACTTATTTTTTACCTTATTATTTTCATTCAATGTGTTATCTCTCTTTTAAAATAACATAATTTATGTCATTTAAAATGATAAATATCAAATTCATAAATTTATACTTGAAAATGATATCTTTTATCATTCAAATAAAATCAATTCTCGTAAGCTCATTTTTAAATTTTCTAAATATAATACTTTTAAATTTTTTTTTTCAAAAGTTAATTCTTTTTCAAATTAAAAAAAAACTAATTCTAGGAAGATTAAAAGTTAATTCTTTTACCAACCACTGTCGCCACCATCACCATCATACGCCACTGCCACTACCCTCATCGTCTTCACTACCACCACCACGACGCCACCACTACCATCACCACCACGTCACCAACCACTATTATTGTTGCAGCCACCAGCACCATCGCCACAATTACACCACCCCCGCCACTACCATCACCACGCCATTGCCACCATTACCACCACCGCCACCAACACTGTCACCTAGCACCACTGCCACCGCCGCAGCCACTGCCACCACCACCACTATGATCCCTTCACAACCACCACCACCATGCCACTGCTACCATTGTTGCCACCACCAACCACCATACCCACCACCATTGTCGTAACCACTGCCGTCACCTCCACCACCACCACCCCCACCACTACCACCGTCGCCGCCACCATTACCACCGTCATCGTCGCATCCACTGCCATCACAACCACCACCACTATCTTCTCCACGTCACTGCCACCACCACTACCGTACCGCCGCCGCCACCACCACAACCACACCATGTGAAAAGGAAAGTGATGATCCAGAATTTTTTTATATTTAATAAGAATTACTTTTTATTATATTATTTGTTGTGTTATCAAACACAATTCTCATTCTCAGAATAAAAATAGAACATGTTATCAAACACATTTTTTTCTCAGAAACTGTTCCATGGCACAGAAATAGAAAAGAATTGTTTCTTTTCAGAAACAGTGCTAAGGAATAGAATGGTTGTTATGCACACCCTTATGCATCTTTTCGGAATCAATTTTTTTTTAAAATTTTTGTTCCTGGGAACGTAAATGGATAAAAAAACTCGTTTGGTAAAATCGATTTTTTTTTTGTTCCCAAGTTTAATTTGTGCTGGGAAATAGAAAAAAGAATAAGAAAATTTCTATTTTTTTGTTCCCGGACACAAAATGAGAAACACTTATCCTTCAATCACTCTTCACTTCTACCATCATCACAACCACCACCATCATCCCAAGACGACCACCGCCACCATCGTCGTCTTCGCCATCGTACCACTAGTGTCGTCGTAATCAGCCCCCACCAACATGATGTCACCACCATCACTATCACCACCACCTTCACCCATCACTACCACCATGCCACTGTCACCACCACCACAACTACCACCCCCGCCACCACCACCACTACTATCACCGTCACCACCACCACCACCATCATCGCAACCACTGCCGTCACCGCCACCATCGTCATCACCATGCCACTGCCACCACCACCATCACCACCGCTACCACCACCACGACGCCACCGCTACCATCACCACCACTGTCACCAACTACTACTACCATTGTCGCAACTACCGCCGCCGCCACCAACAACCACAACCACCACCATCGTCACAGTCACTATTGTCACCACCACCACTACCATCACCACGTCATCACCACCACTACCACCATCACCACCACCACCACCACCATGCCATCGCTACCATTATTGTCGCCACCAACCACCGTCCCTACCACCATTGTCGCAGCCACTGCTGTCACCTCCACCACCACCATCCCCACCACTACCACAGCTGCCGCCACCATTACCACTGTCATCGCCACAACCACTGCCGTCACAACCCCCACCACCACGTCACTGCCACCACCATTACCGTACCGCCGCCACCACCATGCCCCCACCCGCGGCCGCCACCACCACAATCACACCATATAAAAAGGAAAGTGATGATCCAAATTTTTTTTTTTTTTTATATTTAATAGAAATTATTTTTTATTATATTATTTGTTATGTTATCAAATATAATTCTAATTCTCGGAATAAAAATAGAACATGTTATCAAACACATTTTTTTTTTCTCCGAAACTATTCCAAGGCATATAAATAGAAAATAATTGTTTCTTATCAGAAAATAAAATGATTGTCATGCACATCCTTAATGTCATAATAATTAGTATTGGATTTCTATTATCGACTTTTGACTTTATGAGATGGAATAAAAATTCTGACTGAAATTCTAAAGTTGATAGCAAAGTGTTTAAAATTTCATTATATCTTCTAAAATTTTAAAATTGATAATATGATGTCCAAAACTAACTATTCGGTGACACTTACACGGCGAAAGAAATATCCTTTAGGAGGATTTTTTATGATTGTTTAACACCACTTAGAATTTGTTTCCATTAAAATTTATTAAAGTGCAATATATATCTCTTAGAGACGGAGAGGTAATTTTTTTTAAAAATTACCGAATATATATAAACAACACGCCCATAAGTCCATAACACGCTTGTATGTTTTCGTTGGGTCATGAGCCCATTTGACTCTATCAGATTCGAGATTAAAACCGAGGCTAACTGTCTTGCACTGGGCCTCTCCCGACTTATCTAATTGTACTGGCCCAAGAATTTAGAAAATATAGAAAAGATGCATTTTTTATGTTTGATAATTCTTAAATTATATATGGGAAAAGTATCTATCCTTTTAAAGGATATAATCATATGTCATTTTAGATCCTAATTGTTGATTTTCGTCAATCAACGATTATAATTTATTGAGTCAAAATTATTAATTAATTAATAATAAGTTTGACTCAATAAATTAAAACCATTGATGGACGAAAATCAACGGCGAGGATCTAAAATGACATATCCTTTAAAAGGATAGATGTTTTTCCCATTATATATATAAACGGCTTAAATCTTAATATTTTAATTTTTTTTCTAACAAATACATTCTACTAAAAAAACTTTTACATAAATTATGAAACCAATCTATACTATATTATAATTCAGAGCCATTTTGTGGAAGGTTTTGCCACGTGTAATTTATACAATGATTTGAAATCTTTTGAAAAGTATAAACTTTCCATCTTAAAGCAAGTTTTTTAAAACAATTAAATTATATGGGTTACATACAAATTAATAAAATTAGTTTGAATTTTGAATTTGAAATTTGAATTTAAATATAGACATTAAATCAGATATGATGACAATGACTCAAATTAAGAAAACCAATTAATTAGATTGATTGGCTCAAATTAAGAAAACAAATTTATTAAGATTGGCTAAAATTATGAAAATCAATCAATTGGATTGATTGGATAAAAAAAGAAAATTACCCAATATGAATGAAAAGTGATGTGGTTCTAACCAAGGGGGTTGATTAGCATCATATATAGTTGATCATTTTTCTTATTTAAATGATATATTTTTCTTATTTTGCTCCATTCAAAAGCCTAGATGATAATTACTCATTATTGTGGCGGCCCTTCTATTTTCATTCTTCAATATATCTTCCGCATAAATTCCTTCAATCTTCCATTTTGTCATTCGAATTGCAACTTCCTCCAAAATTAAAATGACATATTCGACTTTTGGCTCAAAACAAGCAAGATTTGAAATAAAGCTTCAATTGTATAGGAAACGACAATTGAGAAATCCACACAATTCATGTAATTTTGGTCTTTGCAAACAACATTCCACTCAACAATTTTGTATCATTTGTTCTTTCCTTCAACAAAACTATTTCATTTAAATATTATACTTTATCATGAAAAATTCATATCCCACTGTACTCATAAAAATAATTTTCTTTAAATAATTGTTTCATATACGTCTAATGCCCAATAGCAATTTCAAATATAATAATAAATTAAAAATATTTACTATTTTTATGTTTGTTTCTAAAAAGTAAGTATTTGAAAAAAATTATATAGTTAAAATATTAATTTTTGTTTCCAAATTTTATAATTTGTAACCAATTTTAGTAACACATAATGTTTTTAAGCATATCATATATGTTATTAAGTAATTTAGTTTCAAATATAATTTGATTTCATATAGAGTAAATACCATTTTTAGTCTTCAGCAAAATTTATGATGCCCACTTTAGTTCCTAGCAAATAAAAAGGCCCATCGTGGTTCCTGAGAAATTCAAAATGGACCCATTTTAGTCCTTTTAGAGACTAATATGGGTATTTTTTGAATTTGTGAGGGACCACGATTTCAACTAAATGGATCCTTTTTGAATTTTTTAAGGACCACGATGTGCTTTTTTATTTGCTAGGGCTAAAACGGGCATGGTAAAATTTGCTGAGGACCAAAAATGATATGTACTCTTTCATATATAACAGTTTAAAAACAAAGTATTCTGTTTGTGTAACACCCTCCCTTGTATGCATCCAAGAGAGTTGTTTGCTAAGCGGAATTAGAGTTCTTTTGTACTACTTAAGTACTGAAAAATTGATTTAACGTTGCCAATTAAAAATTAAAATTGAAATCGGGTTTCTCACAAAAATCAGAGTGACATTTTTAAAATGCATAACTTGCTAAAAATATTATTTTTGCTGACTGACCTTGCTGTCTTGAAAAATTCGCATAAAATCGAGCTTTCAGA